GCTGGAAGATCGACCCCCTCCTTCCCCCTACAGTCTTCTGGGATACTTCATATGTCCCAGAAGACTAGGGGACCAATCACAAGGCGCAGCGCGACTCGCACATACGCAGTAGGAAACCAGCTGTGAAGCCAAAAGGCTTCACTTACAGTATCCCTTACTTGCAATGCCAGCGCCGGGAACCCAGAGGCTAGTGAAGAACTAGCCTGGGTGACGCTGGATACCTGGACAGGTAAGTATCCTTGTATCAACAATATTTGTAGCTGCTGTCTTTTAATTTTTGGGGGGAGCCTGGAGCTCCTCTTTAACCACTTGCCTACTGGGCACTGTTACACCCTTCCTGCCCAGGCCAATTTTTCACCTTTCAGCACTGTTGCATTTTAAATGACAATTGCGTAGTCATGCAATACTGTACCAATATAAAATTGTTATAATTTTTTCACACAAATAGAGATTTATTTTGGTGGTATTTAACCACCACTGGGGGTTTTTCATTTTTAGCGCTAGAAAACAAAAAAAAGACCAAAAATTTTGAAAAAAAATGCATTTTTCTTCATTTCTGTTATAACATTTTGAAAATAAAACATCTTTTTACACAAATTTAGGCCAAAATGTATTTTGCTACGTGTCTTTGTTATTATTTAGTCTGTAGGAAAGTTATAAACTCCATAAACTATGGTTTCATATCTAAAAATTGATAGATTCTGATGTACTAATGGCCAATCTCATTTCTTGAGGCCCAAAAACACCAGGACAGTACAAATACCCCCAAAATTACCGCTTTTCAGAAAGTAGACAGTCTGAGGTAATTAGTAAGCGGCATGGGGATTTGTTTGTCATATTTTGTCATAATTTTGTGGAAATTAAAGAAATTTTAAAAAAATGTTCACTTTTTTTTTTTTGTTTATTTACATACTGTCACAATGCAGTACGGCAGGGGTAGGCAACCTTAAAGAGGTGGAAGCGTATCGGAACAACATGGTAGAAGTCATGGATCACCGGGCACAGCATTGCCTCCGCACACCTGATATAAACCTCTAATTCCTGTACTACCGTGTCGTAATCGTGTGCATTACATGGCAATCATGGGTTTAAATCAGATGGTGAGCAGGCAACATATTACCTCCTCACCACCTGTGAAACACACTTGGATCACTTTTCAGAGAAGCAGCAGTGTCTGCTGCACTTGTAGGTGAGCCCTTAGTTGCATTCAGCAGCAGCACCCTTAGGGCTTGTTCATACGTAAATTTGGGGGGTGGTGAAATCCTGCAGTTGAGTCGCGTCAGTCAAAGGTGTACACATGCCACAGCAGGAATTAAACTTCCTGTTGCTTTTGGTGGGTGCTACCTCCTACCAGTCACGATCCATTTAAGTAAATGAGGCCACTATGCAAGTGCCCCATACTGCATGCTTCTGCAGGGTCCAAGGGGTTAAAGCAGGTGGTTATAAAGCAACACAATGCTGCCTGCTGTAACCCATTTTGCTGTACTGCACAAGTTTTCAGGACACTTGCAGAGTGGCGCCTCATTCACTTAAAAGGGTCATGCTTGGCAGGTGCTACAGCCACCAACCACAACAGTGCATATCACTCCTGCTGCAACTCAACATGTGTACACCCCTGGCTACTGCAGCTAAAGGAGGTGCAGTTGGGGCGAGTGTAGTAAAAACACATTTTAACTATGAGGTTTTACCACCACCAAACTGAAAATGTAAACGAACCCGAAATAAGAGGTGGAATGCAGTTGGTATCCCTCTGCATTGGACAGGAGCCAACACTAAAGAGGAGGCATTGACTTATGAGGTTCCTGCTCCCTAATACAGCTCCAATTTTACAAGTAGTCCCTCTGCATTGTACTCTGTTTGATGCTCTGGGATGGCGGGTCAGCAAGCCCAGGCCGTGATCTATCAGTGACCTTGCTGAGATCTACTGGTAGATCGTGATCTACAGGTTGCTGACCCGCGCAGTACAGAGACATCATATAACTGGTGTGGCAGTGATCATGGACACTGACTGGCAACAGAATTTAAAAAAAAAACATTTTTAATTTTAATTACTTTTTTTTTATATATTTTTTCTACTACTGTGACCAGAGCAATACAATGTTACCATAGTAACATTGTACTACTCTGGGCAAGTGATCAGGATTTTTTGATTTATTATTTGTACATATTATGACTGCTTATACCAACAAATTACATTGGTATAAGCAAGCATTTTTACTGAAAGAAACTGATTCATTCAGTAGTTTTTGTTGTGATCAGCTGTGATTGGCCATAGCTGATCACATGCTACAGATGCGCTGTGATTGGCCCAGTCTGTACATGTGAGCACTGTGACTAATCAACAGCTCGCAGCACAGTTATAAGCAATGAATGGCATGAAAGAAAGCCATTCATTGTTTACAACTATCATGTGATCTATTGTGATTGGTGTAATGATCTGCCATCAGCCATGTCCTGTGAACACAGCCAGTGACAGATCTCAACGGACTAGCATGGCCCGATAACAGGATAACTGGGTTCTTGCTCAGCCGTCATTGTACAATAGGCCAGGCGAGAAGAAGTTAAAATGGTCCTTTTTCATAGAATCAATACCATTTAATATTATAAACTAGTCCTTGAAATCCATTCAAGTGATTGTGTCCAGGCTGAGATGATGTCATCAGATGTCTGCAGACAGAAAGAAGCACTTCTTCAATCTCCTCTTCTCCAGTGACTGGACCGCAACATTGTAAATTTTTAAACAAGGTGAAGATGAAAGACTGCAGGTAAAAGGTTTGACAACTTGAGCAACTAAACAAAACAAAGCAACTCAAATAAAATCAGAGTTTCTAAGAAGCAGCTTAAAGCACATTCAAATAGAATGGATGAGTTTGAAGCCATCTCCACACAAACCTTAAGCCTAGGGTTTTCCATAGACAATAAATGCTTCACTGGGAATGATGGAAAATCATCTCACAATGTCTCTAAACTTACCCAAGCATCACACTGAAATGTTAAATTGGGGGTAGGATTGCATTGTTGATGGTCACAAGAATAACCATTTCAATAAGTGCCGGTGTGAACCGCATCCAAACCGCATGGCATGTGAAATAACTTTGCTTCCTGTTCACATATGTCCAGATTGAAAAAGAGTGCTGACCGATTTCTGCGCAGTGCCTTCATGTTCAGGTGCGGGTTACAGACTAGTGATTTCTTTGGGAACCATTTCTAAACTGCACATGTGTGATCAGGAAAAAATTCTGACCTAATCCTGTCCTGAACCTGATGTAAACCTGACCTGAACCGCTGAACAACTACTGTGCTAAATAGCTGTCAAACCTGAGCTTTAATCTGCAATGCACATACAGTATGTGAATCAGCTCGAAATGAGCAAAAGCCACAGTAACTTTTTCTTTCTTAGACATACTTGTGGCATGTGGTAAGCAAACCACCAAAGTATATACCCATTCACTATAATTTTATATAAGCTTCAACATGGTAATGAAACTCAAAAGTTATTTTCAATCTTCTCAATTTTCAGTTTTGTTAATTCAATACCTGTTGCTCTTGCCATTAATGGTCCTTATTCCGCTACTTCCTGTTATAGGTGAAAATACTGTGCCCTGTCTCTAAATTGTTCTCTTGTGTTGTCACCATCTCACACAGGTTTTTGATTGAAGCAAAAAATATATAAGGCGCTACTAAAATTAACGAATATGATACAAATGACCTCTTAAATCAATAATCCTGATGATGTGATTCCGCTAAACGCATTAAGGCCTGGCCTTCACTTTTGGTCCCTTTTCACGTCGCTTCCGGTGGGTTGGATTTGGTCCGTGGAATGCATGTTGGCTCCGACGGAGTGCGGTGTGGAGTGCTCAATTCCATCCTATTCTTTATGTTAGTGCTGCTGGCACAATTAAATGTGAGTGTATTCATGTTATCCATTTTCCTATCTTAATAAACTACACTATAGAAGTTCTCTTTTCTCTGAGTGTTTGTGTTGTCATATTCCGTTCATGAGAGAGTACTCATGAGAAGATGGTGGTGTTATTTGCTCCCCCTTTCTTTGGCGCTGGTCACAACTGAGGAGTGTGATATGCTCATTGATGATTAAAATCTGGCAAGTTGCTAACCTTACCACATGTGGTAGATCAAAGGATTTTACCATTGGACCGATCAAAGGATTTTACCATTGGATCGAATATTTGTCACTGCTTTTGGGAACACGGTGCACAGAGTCTTTGTGGAGTTACTGTATGGACTATTTACATTATGGACATTCTTTGTTTTTTATGGAAATTGTTTTGATTTTTCATGAGATAATGGTCAATGATTCCTTATAGTTTTTTGCACTCTTATTTGCACCATTATTGATTTAAGAGGTCATTTGTATAATATTCATTGGTTTGAGTAGTGCCTTTTATATTTTTTGATTTATATAGTGTGGGTCACACTTAAGAGGGGGTTTCTCTTGAATTCAATTTAGGATTCTAGGTTGGCGCCAGGGACAGACTGACAACTCATGGGGCCCCCGGGCAATAGGGGATCATGGGGCCCCTGTGTCCTTGCCCAAACTCAAAAAAGCCTATGAAAAAGGTACCAGGGGCATCTCATGGGGCCCCCTATTGACCCCGGGCCCTCGGGCAGTGCCCGAGTTTCTAAATGGTCAGTCCGCCCCTGGTTGGCACCCTCTCTTTTTCTCACTCACCAATTTCAATAGAAAGGTTTTTGATTGAGACTGCAATGGCCGTTTAAACACAAATTATGAAAGTGTGGGCCACTGTTGTCTCTAACAGGAAACTCAGCCTGAGAAATGCTATGCTGCCATTGCTGGTGGTACATGTATATAGGAAGTGCTAACATTCAACTCAGAGAGAAAATGTCCTAACAACATTTGATTTTGCTCCTATACAATGGAAAAATACACTCCTATGCTTTTAGCAAAGTTGATTAAGGTTTACTTCAACTTAAAAAAAAAGTCCTGTTAAATAATTCAATAAACTAGCTGATTTTATGAGAGCTGATGGGAAAGATAAAATACAACAAGCTTGCAGTTTTTCTGTTAATATGCAAACCATAGCAGGTTATTACACCATGCAGGAGGAAGACTAGCTGTACTGATAGATCATAGAGATTTTATCTAGACCTGAAAAGAAGTCTGCAAAGCAAAATCTCTTTAATGTATTTATGATGACAGATTTGGGGGACTGAATCGCAGCAGAAGATTATATGTCAATAAACAGACAACACTCTATTGTCTAAGGAAAATAGATTTATTCTGTTTGCAAGAACAAGCAACTCTTACTACACCACTGTGGCAAGGAAAAAGAAAGAAAGAGAGAAAGAGAGAAAGAAAGAAAAAGAAAGAAAGAAAGAAGAGAAGAGAAAGAGAGAGAAAGAAAGAAAGAAAGAAAGAAAGAAAGAGAGAGAAAAAAAGAAAGAAAAAAAGAGAGAGAGAGAGAGAAAGAAAGAAAGAAAGAAAGAAAGAAAGAAAGAAAGAAAGAGAAAGAAAAAAGAGAGAAAGAAAAAGAAGGAAGAGAGAAGGAAAAATAAAGAAAGAAAAAGAAAGAAAAGAAGAAGAGAGAGAGAGGAAAGAAAGAAAGAAAGAAGAAAGAAAGAAAAAGAGAGAAAGAAAGAAAAAGAGAGAAAGAAAGAAAGAAAAAAAAAGAAAGAAAGAAAGAAAGCGAGAGAGAGAGAGAGAAAAAATAAAGAAAGAAAGAGTGAGAAAGAAAGAGAGCGAGAGAGAGAGAGAAAGAAAGAAAGAAAAAGAAAGAGAGAGAAAGAAAGAAAGAGGGAGAGGAGAGAGAGAGAGAGCGAAAGAAAGAAAGAGAGAGAGAGAGAAATAAGAAAGAAAGAAAGAAGAAAGAGAGAGAGAAAGAAAGAAAGAAAGAAAGAAAGAGTGATGGTGAAAAAGAAAGAGAGAGAAAAAAAAAGAGAGAGAACGAAAGATTCTTTATTATTTCCATTATGTAACAATAGTATAAAGAACCTCTTAAAAAGATGAAGAAGGTTCCACAGATGTTTATCACAACCAGTGAAACTCTGAATCTAAAACTAGCAGGTTTTTGAACAAACATTTGTATGAAAATTTGCAGTGCATGCAAAGACTCAATGAATGTAGTTCAAAAATACTTTAAAATTATGTTTATTTTTAACTTTCCATTTTGGAGTGAATGGACTTTACTGCACAAAAATAACATTCACAGTTAAAAATGTGCTTGTTCGAGAAAAAATTTCCATCCTGCTTTCTTCGAATTTTCCTATCACTGCAGTCAAAAATAAACATTGGTTTGAACCCACTAATAATTATAAAATTGTACAAACATTCTTCAAATTTTGAATAAAACTCTATTAGTGTATGGCCAGCTTAGCAGAGGTTGTGAGGTGAAAACACTTAGCTGCTCACTTGTATAGCTGCTCCACATTAAAATGATGTACACATCCACATACACTAGAAATTATTTTTAGATTTAAAAAAATACATTTCACAATACAAAGAAGCCACCAATTTGAAAATAAGAGGGCATTGCAAAGAAAACATCTGTCGACCATAACCAAGCATGTGTAAGTTAGACTTTGGACAGGAAATCCATTCAGTAGACCTGGTGTGAACACGACATAGCAAGTGCTTATACCTGACATGAACAAAGTGCAGGCACACTGAAAGCTCCTCTCCCTTACTAGAGGGCAAGATGACACAACTGATATGCAAAAGAGTGCTGTGTCAGGGGCTCGAATAGAAGCCTTTAAGTGCTGGAAATGTTTTAGCTGATGGATGCTATACAAAGAAGATTAAACAGTGTAGATGTCATACATTCCCAATCTGGAAAATAAATGACAGATAATGCAAAATGGACTGTCACATAACACACTGTAATGGACAGGTACTAGTGAGGAAAACTATCTGTCTGACATCAGCCAGTCTTATTATAAAGGGAATGGATAATATTGTTTTAACTTTTTCAATGTAAAGGAATTGCTGTATGTTGTATACCAATATCATTTTTTTTTACTTTAAATAGTTTTTTGTATTGAAAAATGTAGGTTTTTAGAAGATACAGTGGCAACCACAGTCATGTATACAGGTAGAAGTATGAAATCATTGATTAACAAATCGAATGATAATTGACATTGCAGAAGATACAGTGGTATACCAATATAATTTTTGTTTTAAATATATAAATGGCACATTGTTCTTTTTTTTTAAGCTTGCCACCTGCTGGTGACTGTTGGTAAATATAGAATATTCATACACAAATATTTAACTGGACTATGTATATAGGTGAATACAGGGCTTTTTTTCAGCAGGAACTCAGTTCCGCCACATCCAGAACCTGCAGAATGTATGTAATTGCAAAGGGGGCTGGGGTGTGCTGGAGGGTCTATTGATGATGGCTGCAGGGGGATCTATCTATAGTTGCTGGGGTGGGGAGATCCTATGTTGCTGGGGGTCAATAGTTGCTTGGGGATCTACTGTTAAGGGAGAGATCTATTGATGCTGGCTACTGGGAGATCTATTGTTGCTTGGGTGGGATTTTCTTGAGGAGTATCATTGTTGCTGGGGGAGTTTATTGTTTCTGGGGGGATATATTGTTGCTGGGGGGGTCTGTTGTTTCTGGGGAGGTCTGTTATTGCTGGTGGGAAACCTATTGTTCCTGGGGGAGCGGGGTCTTATTTTGCTGGGGGTGTCTTATGTTGCTGGGTGGGATCTACTGTTGAGATAGAAGTCTATTGATGCTGGCTGCTTGGAGATCTGTTGTTGCTGTCGGTGGGGGGGGGGGCTATTGTTGCAAGGGTGGTATTTTGTTGCAGGGGGTTCATTGTTGCTGGGGGAGTCTAGTGTTGTCAGGGGGTTTATTGTTGGGGGATCTATTGTTGCTGGGGAGGGGTTCTGTTGTTGCTAACTGCAGTGGATCTAACTTACTGGTATTTTAGTTATTATTAAAAAGAACCAGCACAAAATGAAACTTGGTTCTGATACTTGATTGTATGGTGCTTAGAGGTGGGTAAGGGGTGGAGACAAGGGGTTACTCAGAAAAGGGGAGTTCCTGCACCTAGTCTTTGAGAATAAAAAGCCCTGGGTGAATATATACCAATTCCCCATAACTTTATGACCACTGAAAGGCAAAATGAGCAACATTGATTATCTCATTACCAAAGTATCTGAAAGTCTAGGGAATATATTAGGAAGCAAGTGAACATGTTGTCCCTGAAGCTGATGTGTTGAAAGCAGAAAAAAAATGGCCAAGTGTAAGGATTTGAGCAACTCTGATAAGGGTCAAATTGTAATGGGTCAGACCAGCTCCAAAACTGCAGCTTTTGTGGAATGTTCCCAGTCTGATGTGATCAGGATATATCAAAACTGGTCAAAGGAAGAAAAACCAGCGAACCCCTGACATGTCATGGGTGGTCAAGGCTCACTGATGCACATGAGGAGTGATGTCTGGCCCATGAAGTCTGATCCAATAGAAGGCCTACTGTAGCTAAAATTGCTGAACAATTTGATGCTGATTCCGACAGAAAGGTGTCAAAACACACAGTGAACTCCAACTTGATCAGGGTGCCCATGTTGACTCGTGTCCATAGCCAAAAGTGCCTACAATGGCCACATGAGCATCAAAAATGGACCACAGAGCAATGGAAGAAGGAGGCCTGGTCTGATTCATTCAAGACTGATTTGAGGAACACAACAACGAATTTGAGGTTTTGGCTTGACCTCCAAATTCTCCAGATCTCAATCCAATTAAGCATCTGTAGGATGTACAGAAAAAACATGTCCGATCCAAGGAGGTCCTACTTTGCAACATACAGGACATAAAGGATCTGCTACTGATAGCTTGGTGCCAGATACCACAGCATACCTTCAAAGGTCTTGAGGCATTCATGCCTCGCTGGGTTATGGTGGGTGGCCATAATGTTATGGCTGATTGGTGTATGGTTTACCTAGTGTGTAGTATGACACCCAGTAGCACAAAGCCATGTGGTGACTGCTGTGTAGAATAATAGTAAAAAACAAAAAAATAGAACCAGTATTTACTAAAATGTAATACCCATCTAGCAATTTTCATGCAGCAGAAAAACACATCTATATTTCAATGCATAGTTCATCCATACATCAATGTGGAAGACAGATAGATAGATAGATAGATAGATAGATAGATAGATAGATAGATAGATAGATAGATAGATAGATAGACAGACAGACAGACAGACAGACAGATAGACAGACAGACAGACAGACAGACAGACAGACAGATAGACAGACAGATAGACAGATAGATAGATAGATAGATAGATAGATAGATAGATAGATAGATAGATAGATAGATAGATAGATAGATAGATAGATAGATAGATAGATAGATAGATAGTAGATAGATACAGTTGTGTTCAAAATAATAGCAGTCAGACATCACTAATCTGATCAATCACTGTTTTTGGTAGAAATGATATTTCTACATGGCAAATAATTTACTAGTAGGTGTAGTAGAGTAATAGAAATCCAACAGACCCAACAGTCATGACATGCATGCTGCTGATTCTGTGTAATTGAATCAATAATTGAAAGGGGCATGTTCAAAATAATAGCAGTGTGGAGTTCTATTAGTGAGGTCATTCATTCTTTGAAAAACAGGTGGCAATTATTGCCCTTATTTAAGGAAGGAAGGCAACAAATGTTGTACATGCTGGTTACAGTGCATTTCTCTCTGAAATTCTGAGGAAAATGGGTCGTTCCAGACATTGTTCAGAAGAACAGCGTACCTTGATTAAAAAGTTGATTGGAGAGGGGAAAACATATAAAGAAGTGCAGAAAATGATAGGCTGCTCAGCTAAAATTATTGCAAATGCTTTAAAATGGCAACCAAAACCTGAAAGACGTGGAAGAAAGCGAAAAACTACCATTCGAATGGATAGAAGAATAGCCAAAATGGCAAGGACTCAGCCAACAATCAGCTCCAGGAAGATCAAAGAAGGTCTAAAGTTACCTGTGAGTACTGTTACAATTAGAAGACGCCTATGTGAAGCCAAGCTATCTGCAAGAAGCCCCCGCAAAGTCCCACTGTTGAAAAAAAGACATGTGCTGAAGAGGTTACAATTTGTTAAAGAGCACATAGACTGG